GTTGTTCAGCATGGGGGTGAGTAGAAAATGAAGGCCAATCATGTTTTGGGTGTACTATTCCTTTAAGTTGGATTTCTGTTTTGGGGGGTTTTCGGGTTTTTTTGAGCTATGGTCTTAAACTTTTGATCAGCTGAAAGAAATCATGTTTGAGAGTAAATGCAGTTTTCAATTTATTCCCTTACACTGATTTCTTCTTTTAACATTGTGAAGCTCTACTTAGAACCTTCTTTATATCCAATAGTGCAAAATGCTAATTCTTGCAATTTTTTTGACTGGTCTTAAGATTTTGATCAGGAGTGTAGGAGACAGACACTACCATTTAATGCTTGAGTCTTGGGATGTAGTTGGAAACACAGAAGATTAAATCGTCCGTCGGACAGGAAACCATGAATCAATGAACATTCCTGAATGGGACAGAGTCTTAGAAGGTCTGGCGGTTGAAGACTTCAAAGCAACCATGAAACAGACTCCCTTCCCCTGATAAGATCCCCATTATTCCAACTTTACGGCATAGATTTCCGATAAAGCTCTTTACACTGGAAAATAAAACCCAAGCATGTTTAAAAGTGGAATATTCAGCTTTAACTTTGCTCTTTCTTGACGCACCAATCCCCTCCTGGATCTTCTTAGTTTGATTGTTCTGTGCATTTATCTGGAGCTTTTTGTTAATTTTTGCTTCAAGTTAGAGACAAATGTTCATTATTTATAACAAATCCTGTGATTTTGTTTCTATGAAGCTTATTTCTGAAAATGATCTAACCATGGGCTAAAGAGCTTAATCTGTTTGTGTGGAATCATATATATATATATCTACCTACCTAACAATAGATTATACCCAAACCTTAACAGAGCGAAGTATATGGAATGTTTATTTAGGCAACTATTTATTCAGACTTCATGATTTAAGATGGCTTTAGATAGCATTTACAAAAAGTCCAAGGCCTTTCCTTGAAAAGGTAGATATGAAAGCTGCACTGAAAGGTTATCTGCTAATTTCTCATTTTCAAGGCTTCAATGTTTAGAAAGAAAGAGTTTAATGTAATAACTGCACACAAAAACAGGTAGAAAGCACTGGAAAAGGTTGCAAGACAAGGTGAGACAATAAAGAAAGCTGTATTCAAATGTAGAAACTTATTTTATAAACAAATTACCAGGTGAGACACAAACCATCTAAGAGAAGTCGGATTATAATTGCAAGAAGGAGCTGATGCTCAATTATCTGCAGCTCCGCTAGCTTTGATAGAGTGCACAGTGACAGCGGCGTCCATGCGCGCTTTTTACCAGCCATAAACGCAAATAAACTCAATCTATGATAATGTCTTATCTGCCTTTTTCCGTGCAAAGGGTGCAGATGACAGACGGCTAAAGTGTTTGCCTTTTATGGCTTCTAGAGCTTTTATTTGCTCTCTGCATTGTAGATAAAACCTAGCAGACAATTATATGTTACCACGGAAAAGAATGCCACAAGCAGCCTGATCCTACCTCCAGCGCTTTGCTAAATATAGTGTTTTACCTTCTACAGTGGAGGCACCACTGACTGGAAATAATGAAACCAGTCCTTATAAAAGAGGCCGGCCCTCAGCATTACCCGCTTATTTTCTAATTATGGGCAAACGCCGTTATCTCTAGGAAGTTTCCCTCAATCGATGCTAGGCTTTCCAAAGCTCTACTGGTCCAAAACAGCTGAGTCAGTGGCTCCTTCTGATAAATCATCCTATAATTATGAAGTCATTGTTAAAGTGCACCAAAAAAAAAGGGTAAAATGCTCGGAGCGACAGCTCTGAATGTGATGGGAAAGTTCAGACATTTTTCCCCCTCGCTGTAAACCGAGCGGCATGCAAATGATTTCTGGTTTCTCTGCTGGTAGTGGTAGAAAGAGCACACACCTAGAGGCGGCGTGACGTGAGGGACTTTTTAATTAATCAGGGTAAACGCGGCCGACATTTGCCTTGAGCGTTTATGTCAGAATCAATAGCGGAGCGTGCCGGCGGAAAACAAATGATGATGCGGTGACCTCGCTCCAGCCATGTGGCTCACAGTTTGTGACCAGAAAGAAAATGGGGACAGACGCCGAGCATCACCACTGACACGACCGTATGATGATCAGACGGATAATTTCAATTATAAATAAATATATAAAATGAATGAATTTGAAGAATAAATTCCCCTGCCTAATGTTTTTATAACATTTTTGGACAATCAAATTCAAAATAATCTTAAACATTAATGTAAAAACTGAAGATTTGAACATTTTTCTGCAAAGCAGGAGAAAAAAAAAGTCATTTTCTGATTAGAGGTAAATTCAAACACCTCCTCATTTACTATTATTCGCTCTTTAAGTGGCTAAAATCCCACACAGACGATTAGAACATCATTACTCATCTTTTGAAGGAGGATTTCCCTGTTTAAACCTCAGACATTTATTTTGTTGTGCTCCCAACTGTTGGGCTGAGATTGAACGCCATGGTGAGATCTATAGAGCCGCCTGAGGCTTTCAGGAAAAACATCATCCTGCCAAATTATGAGTCTAAAAGAGACTTAAGGTGTCAGAAATATTTTCTCAACAGTGGATGGAAAATAATTTACAGACGGAGGACATTTGAATGGCTCCTTAAGGAAGCTCATCAAAGTTGAGCACTGTGAGATATTCAAAGAGGTCTCCAAATAACCTGCCAATATTTTGACAGGAACTACAGGAGCTCTTGGAGTTTCTGCAAAACTTAGTTCTCTGAGAAGAACACAAACAGCAGAACAATGTTTGCTAGAGAATAGAGCAGTCCCACCCACCCAATGACCCTGATTAAGACATATTTTTTAGATGTTTTACATATTTACATATATTTACAGATCTACATATATTTACATATATTAAATTATATATAAATATGTATTTTTTAGATGTGCAA